ACAGATGCAGAGCTGGCTAAACACTGAAGCTTCTGTGTCTGTGGCATAGCAACCTGCATGCACATCGACTCAGGGAGGAAGTAGCGGGGGGAGACTCTCTCCAATGATTTGACTTTTGACTGCAGTACCAATTTTAAACACAAGATGTCAGAGTTGCCTATTGCTCCTTTAATAAAACAGAAGCTTTATTGAAACCTCCAAGATGTGCTGGACTTGTCCAATTCACTCTTAACTTTATCTTCATTTAACGTTAATCCTGTTTTACACAGCAAGTCAAGAATTTAAGACAAAAAAGTTCAGTTCTTCTGCAAAGTTTTGGCATCCTGACCATCATCCACGTGCCAGGATTTCCTTACACAGTTTATCTGAGCTGATTGTGCGATTAGCTTGCAGCACAGGGGGCTGCAGCACAGGAGGCTGCAGCCCTCATCCCTCCTTCAAAGCAAACACTTGTCAACACAAAAGGCTTTTCAATTGATCCACTCGCACACTGATTTAATAAAGGCCTTGTTGCAGCTAGGCATGCCCCGACATAATGAGCCCAACGTTGTCTGAGCAACTTGGAGAGATGGTGTCCGCTAGAATCAAACTGAGATGTCATGCCAAATGACAAGGATATTTTGGCAGTGTTCCCCTGGCAAGCTTCTTTAAGTCTTCGGATGACGAAGTGTGTCATGTCTCCAGAGATCCAGATGTAGGCTGCACTTGGCATGAGCTTAGTTTCAGAATGTTTCAGCTGTCAGTTTTGTCTCTAACAAATTGTGGCTTAAACGTACAATCTTGCTGGATTGGAGGCACTGAATCAGCGTGAAACAGATCCCCTAAGTTAGTGGGAGGATCTGCATGAATATTCTTGACAAACCTATAGAAAATCTCTGAACTGCTGCAAAGTCAACCTTAAGTATTTTAAGGGCATAATGGTGTACTTATGCTTACCAAGATCAAACCTTTAAACCTAAAAAAAATGTGGTTTAACCCACTTGCTCTAGAGCAGAAAACTACTTTCTGGGCTCACTAAGTGTCTGCAGCTCCTATACGACTAAAATATGGACCTGCCTTGGGCTGACATTTTGTAAACTTTAAAGGGTATAGTTTATTCAATCTTTAACACCTCTGGAATGCTGCATGCTAGAGATTTACCTTTTGGCTGTGAAGCAGACAACTGAGCTGTTCTGACCAGATCATTTATTTTCTATAGGCTACCTAACAACACAACAAACAACAACGTCTTTATGGAGACTTCATACAGTGAAAACAACAAATTCAGTACTTGATGTCTTCTTGTGATTGTTTATCATTTAACCACTTCCTGGTGTCTACTAAGTCTACAAACTAATCAGAGGCTGTGTTCCTAATTTTCCACCAACCAGAGCCTCTGCTTGAACAGCGGTTGTACCACAATGTCATTGAGATGGTTAAGCCGGCCTCTCTGACAGTCATCAACGGCAGCCAACAACATGACGTCACTCTATTACCTCACTCTGGCACACGTCATACTTTATAGAATAACCCCATTACAGGAACAGCACCATTTGCTGCTGACACGGTTTAACCCTGAAGCACTCGGTGGCTATATTTGAAGAAATATGAAAGGTCATTTCTCACTGACAAAGATGGTTAGAAAATGATAGAAGATGTGAGACAATCAAAACTTGTTTTACCAAAGTTCACCGGGAAATCTGCTTCTGCCTCTTGACTGCCGTGTTTCTTCACATATTCAAACGTATATTTGAATAGTGAGACACATCACATATGTGGCTGTAAATTGTTATATTACTGAGCAGTGCATCACATAAAAAAAAATAATAATCTCCCACTTGTGTGCTTAGAAGTCCGCTGCTCAACACTGTCGAGCAGACTATTGGTTAGGTATTGATAAACTACATCAGCACCAAGGTCAGAGCTGTACAGTCTAACCTTCTTTTTTACTTCTTCTGTGACAAACGTTTGCTCCTTTTTTTAAATCAAATATTTATTTTGGGGTTTTGTTGCTCCAAAACAACGAGACCGCTGTCCAAGACAGGACAGTGAAGAGAGTCAGAAATCAGAGCGAGAGAGAGTGAGAGATGACATGAGGGAAAGGAGCTAAAGGTCAGATTTGAACCCAGGACGCTCGCCTTCGAGGACTTCATCCTCCTGTACATGGAGCCACACTAGGCCACCAGTGCCGTGAAATGCTTACTCTTTGTGATGTCTCAGAAACTTTTAGTTAGCATCACATAGCACATTAAAAAGTGTTTATGATCTTTAAAAAAAAAGTTACATTGACATGAGAGAAGACAAAATTTCACTAATAGCTGCAAACTCAATTTAGAGAAATGCCTATACAATCATCATTTTCACCACTCCTTCGACAATAAAATGAACAAGTTATTAAAATAAAGAAAGAAAATTAAGTATTGTTTTCTGAAACGTTGATCTTATAACCGTATTTAAGCCGGTTGAAAACGGTTAAAAAAGTTCTTGGACGTTCAGAATTCAACCTATTTTTCATGAAATACAAACGTTGAATATCTACTTAAAGCTCACTGGGTTTATTTCACTTACACCAAGTTCAATCAACTGGTGTTAAAACCATATTCCAGATAAAAACGTCCTTCTAATTCAGCACATTGAATTTGTTTTTGAGACAACATAAGGGAGGGTAAATGCTGAAGTACGAGCGTCGCAGACTGACAAATAGACAGACAGTCAGTTAGACGAGATTGAAAGCAGCAGAGAGCAGAGAGCCTTAATATTTCAAATCTAATGCATTATTTATACTCTCGGCGAGCCGGCTGAATCTGCCAGAGTGCTCTTGGGTGAATGGAGAGTTTTCGATTCACAGCCACGTGTGTGTACGTGTGTATCTGCATAAGTGTGTGTGTGTGTGTGTGTGTGTGTGTGTGTGATTGGTGGAGCAGTGGATGAAAGACAAAGATGAAAGCAGCCGCCCAGAGGCTCAAACTGTGAGATCCATCTGTTGGTGGTGTGAAGCTCTGAAGTTACTTTAGCTCACAGGTAGGCCCCCTAGGTGGTCAGTGATAAGATGTGTGTTCATAGAGAATCAAGGTGGTGGGAACGTGAAGCAGGTGCAGCAAAGACATGAAGTACAGATATTGACTCAGACGCTAACATTCACACACTTTACTGTTTGTATTATTTTAGTGGAATGGAGGGACTATATCCGTTTTCACATTCACTCCTGAAAATATCTCGATCATTTCAGGAGGACAGCTCCGGATATTCTCCAGACCTTCACATAGCACCTCACAGCGAGGGGGTCGGGGGGTCTCCTGAGGTAAGATGTGATATAAAAAAAACAATGCGGAGGTTGCAGACAAAGCAAAAGAGTCTGCTATACAATCGATGAGGATATTTGACTTTATATCAATGCTACGTGTAGTTCAACACAATCATACTATTATCAGCCTTTAATTGCGCACACAGATTGCGTAGCGGTCGCCATCCTCTCCTACTGGCTCGAGGTGAATTCTCTGGATAATATCCTGCTGCATTCTCACTTTCAATCAATCAATCAATCAATCAATCAATCAATCAATCAATCAATCAATATTTGTATAGTTACAATTCATAATAAGAGTTATCTATAGACGCTTTACAAAAGGGCAGGTTAAAGACCTTACTTACTCATTATTAAGAAAAATGGAATAGGAGGAGATGGGATAATAGAATAGGATAGGATAATACTTTATTGATCCCCAGAGGGGAAATTCGGGCGTTGCAGCAGCACAGACAAGTAAGCTCAAAATACAAAATACACATTAAACAGAATAGATTAGACGCAGGAAGGATTTCTCCTTTGTTTACTCTAGGCAAGGCAAGTTTATTTGTATAACACATTTCAACAACAAGACAATTCAAAGTGCTTCACACAAGACATCAAAATCATCATGACAGAGGAAAGAAAAGAAACATTAAAATAGAACATTTAAAAATCACTGAAATTATTCAATCTGAAAATATGTTCAAATAAAAATAATTCAAATTAAATTAATTGAAGTAAAAATATAAAATGAGTTAAAAGTTAGAGTTTAAAATCTTCTTAAAATTGTTTAATGAAAGGCAGCTGTAAACAGGTGTGTCTTCAACCTTGATTTAAAAGAGCTGAGAGTTTCAGCAGACCTTACTAGACCTTACACTAGTTCCTGTTGTCCACACTTCTTACTGTGAGGTGGATGTCGGAGCAGGCTGTGCATGAATGAGGATGACGGTGGTTACGGGGACAACAGTCCGATGGCGTAAGGGATGAAGGGTGGTAGTAGTGATAGTGATTACCTGACTCCCCAGGCTTCTAACACACTGACACATAAGCAGCAGGCAGACCCTCCCAACAATCCCGAGGAACATCAGCGCACTCTGACTCGCTGCGGAAAGAAAACACAAGGAGACTCTGGGTACCATCTGTTTTCTGCATGTGTGAAAAGCCCTATTAGATATACTTTTCATGGTCAAAAAGCAAGAAGCCCCAGTTTTACTGATAATTCCTTTCAAACCTCTCCTTCACTTCGACAAAAAGTTCCATATAGAGCCATTCAAAATCAGGACTGCTTAGGAAGGGGCAAACCAGGCCTGAAGTTTGTATCCCGCTTTAGGTTCATGAGAAAGATTCAAAGACTCTCAGAAGCTTTTTTAAAAAGGTCGGACCAATTTCCACCACCACAAGAAAAAGAAAAGAATAATGCCTCAGCTGTTGTAACTTTTGAGTGCCTAACAGGTGCTGTACACCTGCTTCAACACAAATAGATCTGGAGTGTTAAAACACTATCACAAAACTACACACATTCAAGACAATCCACAGAAATACATTTGTTTCTTTTCAGTGACCTCACAGCGTCTATCAGTCACTACCTCCCCCCCCTTCACCATCTCCCTCAATGTACTCACGCTGTGAGGGGGCCGGCAGATCAGAGCAGAGCCCGCCCCCTCCCCTCCTATTGGCCTGTATGAGGACTTCAGGCTGGTGGGGGTTGCAGCGCTGCGTCTGACAGCTTTGCAGCGGCTGAGCGCAGCTTGACTCTCCGGTGCTTCTCAGTGGGGATTCTCGTTCTTGGTGTTGTTATCAAAATTATTATTATTATCATTATTAAAAAGCTTTTACAGCCTCAGCCCTGGGATTCAGGAATGCCTCAGCCGGGACCTGAGAGACTCGCAGAGGCGGACTGACTCAACAGCATCGCGCCGTCTACTTTCATTTGGACACATTTCTCCCGAGTGCGTCTTCTCCTCACATCCACCTGCCTGCGCCCATGGAGGGATGTCGTGATGCTGTGCTCAAGGAGAACGAAAACTTTGGTGTCGACATGTGTGATCCTGAGCGGTATGACCAACATCGTGTGTCTCCTGTACGTCGGCTGGATCACCAACTATGTGAACAACGGGGGTCCAAAAGTTGCGGAGAGCAGCGGCGAGGCGGAGAGAAAGTTGGAGGAGGACAGTAAAGGGGAGACACTGAGGATTATCGAGAGACTGGACCGGCTGGAGAGCGTCGTCAACGAGCACATTAAAGGTCAGCACAGCCTGGTGTTTTTCTGCTTAAAGCTCCAGAGAAGGGTCAATCTAAGTTTAATAAACACACTTTAGCAAAACATCAGCCAGACCTCCTTTGGGAATGTATGCATTAACATATTATAAGGTGTTTGTGGTGCTCAACAGTTTGCACTTCATGTATTTGAAAAAAAAAAAAAAAAATCAAATAATCGGTTTATGTAAAATTTGAAATATTCAAGGCTTTTTTAATCGATTTCTGCGCCCCCCCTCCCCCCCCATATAATTGTGAACTGAATATTATTCCTTAAGTTTTATTGTCAGACGTCACAACCTTTGTCTTTTCGCAGTTGTTATGAGGATTTAACCCTTTGTTCTCCTTACCGTTTGAGTTATTAGTTCTTATCAGCAGTAACCTCACTTTTAGTTGCAGCAGTTTCACGGACTCAAAGTGATGTCAAAGAAAACTTTCCTCCTTCAGGCACTGAGAAAACCATATTATCTATTCAGCATGGTGGAGTTCATAAGTAGAGAAACAAAAAGGCACATTCAATATCAAATTTGGGGGGAAAAAATATGTTAACATATTCTTTTGTAACTTTTCACACACCTTATTAATAATTTAGAGATGTTTATTTTTACGCTGGAACTTCCCCGATCTGAGCTGGAACAAGCCTACAGCTGAACACTTAACAAATGTTTTATATGGATGAATATATGAGGATATATGGGGGAAAAAAACAAATTGTTTTTTTTTGGTAGCTGATTTTCTTAAAGGGGATCTCCACTTTACATTGAAGTCTGCTAACAACCATTAGTAGTGTAACTGCACTACTGAAGAAAGGTTGTATGACATTGTTGTCCCAGTGGAAGCTGTGTGACATCTGATTGGATGGCCTCCAGTGTTGCCCTGGTTGTGTTTTTCCAGGACTGAGCAGTTCTGTAGTCTGCTCCTCATCATTGCCTGAGGCTACACCCTGTTTCCCCCAAGTGGTCTGGTTTCAGTGCAGTTCGGTCCGGTTTGTTACTGTAAATAAACCCAGACCTCGTGCGTTTCCACAGCCATCCTTAACATTGATCACAACTTTTCCAGTGAGCTTTGTGTGACTTGTTCCAGTCACTAATGAGACAGTAACCGTACAAGCAGAGCACAAAGCTAACACTTTAGTAACGACCACAAACGTACAGACAGACTGAAACACTTTCTGGTTCCTAACAGCGCTGTCCAGTTCCCTCTGCCCCTGCTCTACGCCAATGATCCCTATAGGATGATCTGCACCTCTGATGTCGTCTATGATGCAGCAATACTGACATTAACATAACACACCCTGCTCTACACTTTCATGGAGCGAGTTGCATTGTGGGTGGAAAAAAACAGTTTTTACACAGAAAAAACAGAGGACGACGAGGACCAACATTTTTTGTTCTACTGCATCAACTGTGAAATACTCTCACCAAATAACTTGAGTGATTAGTCATCAAAATGAATTAGGTGAATTTTCTGTTAATTAAAGTCTTGACTTCAACTCCTGAGCCAAAGCACTCACAAGATGAAAGAGGAACAATTAAATCAATCTTTGAGAGACAACAGTTTACATAGCCTAATATAAAAAAAAGATGAGATAGGATACATTTTATTGATCCCTCACTTGGAGAAGTTCACTTGTTGCAGCAGCTTAAAGGGAAACTTCACCTGTTGAAACATGAATCTGTATTGACATTGGGTCATATATGTAGTAGAAATGTGAAAGACATTTTGAAGTTGGTGCCTTCTTGGCTGAGAAAAGGCAGAAAGTGTCTTTTTGGCTCATGTGGATGAAAGACACCAAATCCCAGAATGCACAGCACCGCAGGCCACTCCCACTAAGGTCCTCTAGTTCAGAATCAGAAATACTTTACTAATCCCAGAGGGAAATTAGATTGTTACAGTTTCTCCAAAATATACAGTATAGCAGTAGAAATATAGTAATAAAAACATTTACAGACATAATTTACTTCAACACATAAGGCCATTCCCTCAACTGATTCAGAGATTTCGTCCAGAATTGATCTTGTAAATTCCTGGCAGAAAACAGACTCTATGTCTGTGTCCATAGACAAACAGTGAGAGCACCGACACTACCAGTCCGCCCCAGCTCGAGCCGGCCCCGGCTCCTCGTCCTCACCTCCGCCGACAGGCAGGCATTATGTCTCGGCTGCTGAGCTGGCAGTGGCGAAAGCTGATGGAGAAAGCTGATAATGGTGAAAAATTATAAATATAGCGGCGAGACGGTTGCTGCTGACAGGCCAGTCTTGTGTCCTAGCTAACGTCGGCCCTGCAGCAGCCAAAACACAAGACCGGCCTGTCAGCAGCAGCCGTCTCGCCGCTATATTTATAATTTTTCACCATTATCAGCTTTCTCCATAGAGCCTGTTAGCATAGCTACCAAGCGATATGGCGGACGTTAAGTTTCGATTCTGGGAGTGAGTTCCCACCCACTGATCTGTGATTGGTCTGTAGCTTCAGTGGTCGAAAATATGAGGAACTAGCGTTGTAGTTTCACCCTGCTAACCGCAACAGCTTCCAGTGACGCAAAAATCATCATTTTGCATCATCAGAAGCTCCTTTTCAGACTTATAAATACAAAGATTTCCCATCTCAGGGGAAAATGAGGACGGGATGCATGACCATTCAAATATACTACCAGGTTTCTAATGATACAAAGATTAATGCAAATGGATGAAGTATCCCTTTAAGAGAAAGTGAAGTAAAAGAGTCACTACATTCTCCACACAGACTTGTATGAGCTGTATTTGAATACTGCCACAGTGAGTAAAATCTCATCCTTTAATAGCAAGTGTCCTATTTCAATGTAAGATTTGCATCATTGCTCCATTTATAGTCCTCGCTGGCCAATTCCTTAAAGTCCTACCCAAATTCAGAAATCAGATTAGGTCATTTGTGTAGCAACACTTTTCAGGTCAGAGCTGGATCAGTTTTCTCACACGAGCCTGGTTCTGCAAACATTTTCTTCCAGGCAGGAGATTACCACTTGTGTGAGTCTTCTTACTATCACAGGGAGAGGTTAGTTGAGTTCAATGATAAACTGTGATTCACGCACACATCGGAGTCGGACTAATAGAATCCCCCCTAGGACCTCCATGTTTTAATTATCCTCCTCAGAGCTATACATCAAGTGAGTCAACACGCATTAAGAAGTGAGACAAACTCTGTCTCCATCTTGTGCTAAATGGGACAGTACATGACTCACTAAGCAAACAGCGGAATTAGGAAGAATCTGCATTTTTTCGGAGAGCCGAGATGATTAACACTGCTACGATTTACGGCAAGAGCTCCTCTCTGATGCCTGATCCGCTGCTGGAGAACGCCTTTCCTTTGACAGATAAGGCCGTAATTTATCAAACATCGTAGAGGAGAAGTGTTTCAGATGAGCTCGGAGAGAGAAGAGACTTTAATCAGAGAGACTGTATTAATACTGCTGAGGGAGAAATTGTTATTTCAGATGCAGAGATACATTAGAGCTGACACTTACAGCCTCATAGCAAACTTACAGAACATTTGGGGTTTTTGTGCATTCTCTTTAACTTTGTACAAAGACACAAACAATATCAGGCTCTCAATAATGTACTTTTAACCCTTTGTCGATTTTGCTATTGCATCAGTATTTGGTGTTCAAACCTCTCCACACTGTAAAAAATAAAAGGTTGAAAAATATATTAAATCTGACTTTAGAGGAGGATCATTAGAAGATGCTTCTCAAAACTCAACAAGTAATGCTTAAGCAGTCATTTTATACAAAGTATTTTTTAATATATGCAAATGAATGGACATTTCATTCATCAAATAGACAGTAGGGTATTTGCCTTTCATGTATTTAATTAAACCCCTAGTCTTAATGAATTTCAGTTTCTGGTTGTGCTGAGCTTTTAAAATGGAAAATATTCTGCCTTTATATAAATGCTTATAGTATGTGTGAACCAGGTTTCTTGCATGTGTGCTTTTTATAGTTGCATCAGGTAATAAAGGGTAGTGAATTCTGTAGAAATAGAGAGCTCATACAGTAGGTGACAGTTTTATACTTTAGCTGAGGGGTATTCTGAATTCCACTCCTGATAGAGACTGTGAGGTTGTGTTGTCACACACAGTACATGCACAGTTAAGTGGAGCTACAGTTACATCTCGATTAGGCCCTTAAGTTAGAGGACTGTCCTTATCCCAGTTAATATGTCCTGAGAGAGAAATGATTTATAGACGATAGTAAGCACGACTTCACTATTTCTATTGGACCTTCTTCTGGTTCACTTTGCTAACATGTTAGCAAGCGGTAAACTGGTTCTAAGTGTAACGGGGGAAACGTGCATAATTTTACAGCTCTGTTCATTTCGCACACTAAGCTTTACTTTTGGTAGAAATGTGATGCATGCTATCCCTCTAGCTCAGCCTTTGCCAAACGTAAGACTGTCGTGGCCCACTTTGAAATACAAAATGACTCCGGGGCCCGTTATAAAATAAAAGTTAGTTGTTAACTTATGGCAAGACAGACACAAAAGTTTACTAAACAGACAGTAAAATATCATGTGATATGATGTCCATGAATAGTCATGACACGCCTTACGAATCACTTAAAGGGTTGGCTCATGGTAAATCATCTTTATTGTGATATTTATTTTATTTTTAAAGTTTTATTTTTTTATTTTATTTTTAAAGTTGGTGGAGGGCTTCTCCCTCCTGCAGTACCCACACGGCCCACCAGGGCCCCGCGGCCCACACTTTGGGAAGCACTACTCTAGCTTATGGTGATATTTGCTGTGCTAAGCATTTATGGTGTTTGACTTCCAGGTCAGCATGTGCAGGACACCTAACCCAGTTTGGTCCTGATTGAGGTGTAAACATGCAAGAGTTAATCGATCCCCATTATCAAGGTGTGTAAAATAGTAGAACTTTGAAGAATTTGACTTCATATGATTTCAGTCGGACTGACATGTTAGCATGTACTTTAAACTCCAGTTTAGGTCAAACTT